AGCTATGATATCAAGAGATGTAGCATTTTGAAAGGAGGCAATCAATGAAGAAATTGACTCAATATTATCCAATAATACTTGGGTGTTAGTGGATTTACCTCCCGGTTCAAAACCTATAGGTTGTAAATGGGTATTTCATAAAAAGTATAATATCGATGGATCAATATAAACTTTTAAGGCTAGACTAGTAGCCAAGGGATTTAGGCAGAAGGAAGGTATTGATTATTTTGACACATATGCACTAGTGGCTATGATAACATCCATTAGAGTACTATTTGCTCTAGCTTCCATTCATAATCTGATTGTGCATCAAATGGATATTAAGACGACCTTCTTAAATAGTGACTTGGATGAAGAAGTATATATGGAACAACTCTGAAGGGTTTGTATTACTCGGAAATGAAAAGAAAGTATGCAAACTAGTTAAATCATTATATGGTTTGAAACAAGCACCAAAACATTGGCATGAAAAATTTGATTACGTTATATTGTCTCATGGATTTAAGCATAATAATACGGATAAATGTATTTATTCTAAATTTAAAAAAGAATATGGTGTTATCGTATGCTTATATGTGGATGATATGCTTATATTTGGGACAAATATTGATGGTGTGAATGAAACAAAGAAGTACTTATCCTCATAGTTTAATATGAAAGATCTAAGAGAGGTTATGCTTTGTGTCAATCCCATTATGTTGAGACAATTATAAATAAGAATCAACATTTGGAAATTAAAGAGGTAAGCACCCCATATGAAAATTCACATAAGTTAATGAAAAATTCGGGAGAGCAATTGCTCAAATCGAGTATGCTAATGTAATTAGTAGCTTAATGTATGTAATGCATTGCACTTAGGCCAGACATTTCCTTTGCGGTTTGTAAGCTTTTAAGACACACTAGTAGACTCGGTGTTGATCATTGGAAAGTAATTTCTAGAGTCCTTGGTTATCTTAAAAGAACTTTGAGTTTAGGACTATCATATGGGGGTTATCCATCGGTGTTGGAGGGATATATCGATGCTAGTTGGATAACAAGTGCTAGAGATAACAAGTCTACGTCCGGTTGGATATTCACTCTTGGTGGAGGAGCTATTTCATGGGCTTCTAAGAAACGGACGTGTATAACTCATTCTACTATGGAATCCGAGTTTATTGCACCGGCGCATGCAGGAAAGAGGCAGAATGGTTAAGGAATTTATTGTTAGAAATAGAGTCGTGGCCACAACCATGCCGACCATTTTTTTACATCTGCGATAGTGAAGCTACTATGTCTAGGGCTTTTAGCAATATATATAATGAAAAATCTAGACATATAAGCTTGTGACATGAATATGTCAAACAATTAATTCTTAAAGGAATTATCACAATCTTATATGTAAGAACTAGTAACAACTTGGTGGATCCATTTACAAAAGGGCTTACTAAAGATTTAGTAAGAAAAACTTCAATTGGAATAGGTTTAAGACCCTTCTCCTAGAGTCACCGAGTAATACAAACTCAACGTTTCTCTAGTATTGCCACTAGTTAAAAGTTCAATAGGTAAAAACAAGTTACCGATAAGTGGTTGTGGAAGTACTAGGATATTTCACTTATGTTACCATTTCAAGTTAACTAGTACTAATAAAGTTTGGAGGATGAGTTATAAACTCTTAATGAGGATTAAGTTATGGAATATGACTAATATATTTAGAACTTAATAGGAACTTCACCTATATAAACATAAGGAGTGGTGCCGCTCCTAGCAAAAGCTCAAGGGGCGACTTTTGAAAATGTTTATGAAAATCTAGGATGTAGCACATGACCATATAAGTTCTAAAAGATTATTTGAGAATCTCTAAAAGAAGTTGGATTAGATCACGTGTGTGGTATTTCTAGTTTTAATACAAGGGATATTGGTTCAATCACTTAAGATACCATTTATTCCATTAAGACTTTTGAGATATTTACACTAAAAGGAGATTCAAGTCGAAAGACATCTTCCTTTATGCATGATACTATAAGGACTTAACATTATTATCTAAATGGGGGATTGTTAGAAATCTTAAGAATGTTAGATAATAAGTTAAGTAGACTCGTGAAAGAAATTTAAAAGTGTTTTCAAATAGGATTTTATCTCACATTGGAAAGAAATGGAAACAAGAGGCGACTTATAAAGTGAGCCTCTAGCAAAATTTTCAAATATTTGATTGGAGAAATTGGAGGGAAAACTAGGATAATTGGTTGGAATTATATATATATATATATATATATATATATATATATATAATCAAAGACTAGCACTTAACACTTTGCACGTGCGCATGTGTGATTAAGAAATTTATTTTTATTTCTTAATATAATTAAATTCGTAATTATTTAATTAATTACGTTTTTAATTTTTTGCTATAGCTCTTAAGAATGTTAGATAATAAGTTAAGTGTACGAGTGAAGGAAATTTGAAAGTGTTTTCAAGTGGGATTTTATCTCACATTGGAAAGAAATGGAAATAAGAGGCGGCTAATAAAGTGGGCCTCTAGCAAAACTTTCAAATATTTGATTGGAGGAATTAAAGGGAAAACTAGGATAATTGATTGGAATTATATATATATATATAATCAAAGACTAGCACTTAGCACTTTGCACGTGCGCGTGTGTGATTAAGAAATTTATTTTTATTTCTTAATATAATTAAATTTGTAATTATTTAATTAATTACGTTTTTAATTTTTTGTTATAGCTAGTTAGTTATTAACGACTTTCAAACCTTATGATTGTTAGAATCTAACAATTATATACGTTAGAATTTAACGATTATGATCTGTTGGATTATAACGGTTAGAATTAATAGTCATGTTTGTTATGAAAGGGTATTAGTAGTCTATATATAGAGGATTACCGCACAGGACAAAATTAATTACATTCTCTCGCAATCCTCCTCTCCTTTCAAAATTCTTTTCCTTCTAAGACTCTACAACTTTAAAAGATATTCTCTTGAAGGAATTTCGAAGTGCTTGCCTATAGTTCCTTATGTGCGATCCTAGAGGTGAATTGCTAAAATCCCTACGACATTATAGTGGGAGCAATAATCACCTTAAGGACAATGTGGGGTATTTTTTACAAGTAATTAAGCACTACATATTTCGTCATTCTTCAAGTTCATTTCAACTTTTCCAACAACAAAGACATATATTTACCTTAAAAATTATAATCACATTAATCTATTTGTGTAAACTTAGCTCCTGTCTACGGTCTACCAAACTTTCTGGTTTGGTTTAATAATATTCCCAACTGCTGCTCTTTGGTTCCTTTTGGCAGAGAGAGAAAACTTCTACAAGTTACGTACGAAATGGTCCATGACATCCCCAGGACTTGACATAAGAAAAGTACTGATCCCATTCCCATTCAACTAATTCTAATTATATATATAAATAAATTACTAAAATAATTTTCAAGTATTTTGAATTCTAGATGAACACAAGCAAGAAAACTGAAAAATAGTCATTATATATCTCTTTTAATTAAAACTTGAAAAATTATAAATTAGTCCTTTTAGTTACAAAAAATAAATTAATTAGATTTTTTTTTCAAAAACTAATTATGTAGTTTCTTGATTAATGTTAATTATACTTAATTTAATATTATTTTATTTTACAAAAATATTTTTTTCTCGTAAACTTTTCAGAATATTTATGTTATTTATTAAAAAAAAAGAAACTAAATAAAATAAAATAAAAACTTAAAAAAGATAAACAATCAATTTATTTTAAATGAGACTAATTTATTTATTTCGCAAAATTAGAGGCACTAATTTATAATTTACTCATTAAAACTTGCATTTTTGAGGGGCAGTCTCACATTCTTACATGCCGAAAAAGGATCAAAAGTAGGAAATGTCTGTTATAAACTCTCAATATTATCTAATTCATTAACTTTTAAATCTCCTAACGATACGCTTGAAGTTACAATGAATACTAAAATTTGGATTAAAAATGTACGGTAACTAGGACAAAAGCCCTAAATGTATGCTAGTGCGGATGAGGTAAAAGTTAGGAGACTCCCAAGCAGGATTCTAAGCGCCGCGATACCGTCCCTTGCTTGTGATGTGTATGCGATTCATCTGCATTATGACGATGTGTTTAATAACGCATTTTTTGCAATATATATCGGCCAAAAAAAATTATGGAATTGCATATTTTAAGTGTTTTTTAATGATTTGGATAATGTATTTCAACATTAAAAAAATTGCAAATGCACTACAAACACTGTTATCATGTCCAAACCCATTCCAATTCTCACTTTTTTTTTTTCGTTGGAAATACATAGGTTTTTAAGCTACATACAGAAAATAACTATCTTTTGTTATATAATTGTTATATAATCATTAAAAAAAAAAAAAAAAACTGCAAATACAGTCATTATGTCCAAACCAATTCGATTGCTCACTTTTTTTTTTATTATTCATGGAAAAGACATAGATTTTTGAGCTACACAAATGAAAGTGGTTCTTTCTCAATACAAATTTTTTTTTAAAAAAAAATAAATTGAAATCATTAGAACTCAAATTTTATTTTAATATACTAAGCTTGATTGTGTCTTTTCATTGATCACATTGCCAAGTAGAAAGTAGTTCATGTTTGGTTTGTTATTTAATTAAGTGAAAGCAACAAGAAAAATAAACTGGTAAGAAATCTTAAATGCAGAACAAATAACGTACGAGACTCTCCTCTTGAGGAGGCAGAGTCTCTTCGGTGAAGGAGTCAACAAATATTGAGGCAATGAGATGAGGAGACTGTTAATTTTTGTCAGCAGACACACTATACTGACTTTCACATTGCCCGTGAATTAACAAAAGAAAATAACGCCATAAACAAATAAGACGACGTTGATTTCACATTGACTTGAACCACCATGAATTTCACCGAAAGACAAAGTCGCATCTCCTGATTAAAACCTCTTACCTTATCTACTCCTATATAATTCGGCTTCTTCCTAATTCTGATCGAACAAAAGAGAATTACAATGTCGAAAGAAAAATACTCTCACTTTGAAAGATTCCGGGTCAGGAAGAGCGTTGTTGGTGAGAGCGTGACGAAGCAAGAGATAGCTAAGTTTTGGAGGCAAAAACTCATTGAGGAAGAGGATCACTTGCTTGATGCTATCAAGGCTGCAGCACGTCTCAGGGCTCGCAATCTCTCTGTAAGAATCGTTAATTTGATTCCCACTAATCTTCACAATAATCAATGCTTGATGACTAAAGTATATGGTAATATTTATAAGATATGCAATAATTGTCGCATCATGAACATGATTTTTTTTTTAAATAATGGTGCTGGTGGATTGCATGATTTTGGTTTATGCGTAGAAAACTAGAATCAATTCCAAAGACTATGACTGAGCAATGAAAGAATTTCTTTTCTTTTCTTTGTTTTTTTGGATGAACGAAAGAATGCCATCTCCAAAACAACCCCAGCAGGAATTGCCGAACTCTGCTATACAAGCCTGTATGTTGAGAACCATCAGCAAAACTCAAACAAGCAATCTCTCTTGTTATATGTTGAAATCTCTTTGTATACCAAAAAAAGGAAAAACAAAACAAAAAAGGGAATAATTTTGTAAATGTTGAACCAACAAGTCTACAAGCTAGTGGCTCGATTATACGATCAGCATTCAATTGTCAACTTGCTCGATGAAAGAAATTTCTTTAAGCAAGCAAACATTACTACTATGTGCTCCTTATGCATTTCAGTATTTTATAATCAGCTTTTTAAAATGATATTGAGGTCCAAGGCCCTCGTTATGAGAGGTGTGTATAAGATGAATCACACATAAGAGGAGGGTATCATTTCCCTTGAAACTCTACTCAATCTAAATTTGCATGATACCCTCTCATAGGGCTGAAGTATTTAGGGGACAACTTGCAAACCATAAGTAAGAAAACTGAAATTTCTTATGTGATTGTTTGACTTGTTTTAGTTTTATGGCGCAGGAGGATGATAATAAGCTATTTGAGGAATCTCTAAAGGATGATGACGAGACTGACGAGAACAACACCACAACTCCCATCAATAGCACAAAATATGGGAAGTGCGATGAAATGCATTTGGGAATAAAGGACCGGTAAGCTGAATTTCTCCCACTACTCATATAGTTTTGAATAAATTTATTTATCAGAAAATTAAGTTGTTTCCTTTGAGTTAATTTGCGAAGCAAAAGGCTGAGGTATCAAGTTTAATTAGAAAGATGGAAGTCATATAGCCACGTATGTTCTTCAATATATATACATATATTAATTGGTTAACATTTATCGTCGGAACCGTGTAAGACTAAATCCTTATTGGATTTGGATGGATGATCCACATCCAAACTAGTACTTTCAGAAGATATTTCTTTCTATCAATTGATAAATTAAAGTCAGTGTAATTCTTTTCAATAAAATCATTTATGTTTTCCTTCATCTTAACAGACGTCTAATTCCATTCACACGTGCAGGTGGACAAATAGCAACTACGCTTACTTGAACCAACCTACCATCGAGTCCGTGCATCCTCCCCACAGACAATCTAATTCTTATTGTTACATTGCCAAAAAAATTCTCTTTTAGTCCCACAATTCCCTAGTATTCCACTTCATTAGCCTTTTTTTTTTCAACCCCACTCTATTAGTTTCATCTTATTGTATTGCTTGGCATTTCTCAAGTTCGGTTTTCGTTTTTCTTGTTTAAAAAGAGAGGCTTGAACTCATCTCTTGATGCTATGAGAACATGGGCGTCAGTTGAATTATAATTTCTTGATTTTTTTAAAGTTGGTTGCAATATGTACTACACACTTCACTTATAATTAAAAGTATAAGATATACAATTAAAATTTATCTTTGGATGTCATTATCCAACATCGGATGAGACTCTTGAAAAATCTATAGGTTTTCTAAGATTTCGAGAGATTCGCATATCGTTCGTGAGTTATTCTGAAAATAGGAGTTATTCATGAATTTGGAGCCGTCACTTAGTTTAAAGGAACTAAGAACATAACAATAGCACTCGGTTCAAAGATTCTCGAGTAAAGAGTTGGTTACGTTTTGGAACGATATCGATCACCCAAATAAATCTCATAAAGTATTTTATTTCAAGCTAGGTTATTTTCAAATTGAACTCCAATTTTCAAATTAAATTAAGTTTTTTGTTTTTAGTTAACGGCGAGTCTCTATCAAATAGGAGACTTCGTTAGGAATTTTAATTAATTTTGATAGATGGGGAACTCGCCTTCATTCTCTAAGAATTAAGAGACTCAACAATTCGTTCACCTATTAACTATTAATCTAATTATTGACATTTCGATGAAAAGTTGTGGTTAGTCCCTAAGAATTAGGAGACTTAATAATTCACCCACCTATTAATTATTAAACTAATTTTGAAACAAAATCCTAAAATTAAAATTAACTATTAGTCTTTTTTATCATTTTTTATTTTTTTTATTTTTTTTATCGATTGAGAATCATCATTAGTCCCTAAAAATTAAGAGAATTGACAATTCATCTATCATTTGGTTATCTAACATAATTGTGAAAATAAAAATAAAAATAAAAATTAATTAAAATTAACTAAACAAAATTTCAAGAAAACTAGAATATTAAAATCTAAAATTAAACAAGAAACAAGCATGAATAAGTAAATATTCAACATAAATTATCTAAAACAAAATAAATAAATACAATTAGAACTAAAAACAATTGGGCTTTTTTTTGGGCTATAGGCCCATTGGGTTAGACCCAACTCCTTTCCCTTTCCTCCTTTTCGTTTTCTTTCTTTTTTTTAAGGCTTGGGTCAGTGAAGCAACCCAAGCTTTGGGCCATGTGGGTTGTACTTATCCAGCCCTTACTTACAAGTCCGACTCCTTTCTTTTCTCTATTTTTTTTCCTTGACAAAAAAACAAAATCAATTCCGAGTAACCTTTTATCAATCTAACCAAATTGAATAAAGGACAAAAGCTTTATACATCCTATCTTCTCTTCTTCCTCTACCTCTCGTTTTTTAAAGCCGGTCGAGATCACGAAGCCTCTTCTCTTTCTTCTTCTTTTGCTCCATTTTCAACTCCGCAATAATAATCAAAAACAAAGAAAAAACAAGCCAAAATCATACTCGCTCGAGTATTCTTCTCTCTCAAGTAGTTGCGGGTGCCTCTTCGAGTTTGACAATCGGTGCAACCTAAGCATCGATGTCTTTGTCTTCATCAATCGAGGCTTTTGTCTTCTCTATGCTCATGTTTAGGCTCGATGCTAGCCATTGGACTTGATGCTTTTGGTTAGAGAGAAACGTAAAGTGGGTATCCTTGTTTTAGTGTCAATAGAATTGGTTTTTTTCTTTTTTAGGGGGTGCTAGCAATAATGAGGGTCTCATTTGTTGATTTAAGGATGTGGAGGTTGATGACGTCTATGATTGTGGGTGGTTATTAGGATGAGTTTCAATGTGGACAATGAGTGAGGCTGGTCGTTGTACCGGTGAAAGAGGGATGTATATAGCTTTCGAATTTTTCCACTAAGTGCTCGATAGAACTCCTCTATGAGTCCCACTTTAGGCCTCTCCTGTTTCTTCCATTCATTGCTTACTATTAGCTAGGTCTTGATTAATAACTCTAGAGATTACTCCCTAATGGCGGTAGGAAGCTCCAATGGAGGAGACTTCGATTGGAAGGTTTAGTGGTTTTGAGATTTGGTATGGATGGTAGTTAATAAGGAGGATGAAATTGGTTTTAGTTGTAAGTCTATGTGGGCTTGACGAGTAGAGGTTAGAAATTATAAGATAAGTGTTTGTATTTTTTATTTGTGAGAGAGTGAGTTTATTTTAGATATAGAGGAGGACACTTGTGGTGGCTATGACTATGGTTAGGATGCTAGCAAAGTTAGGCAAGGGGAGATGAGGTAGTGGTTCCGTTGAGAGGGTTCACAAGGCTAAGGGAGGTTCAAGAGAGTTAGTGATTGTGAGGGGTTTTCGAGTGGAGATGACCTTGGTGAAAGTGTTGAAGATGAAAAGGATGGGTCGGGGACTTGTGAATGATAAAGATGAAAAGGATGGCTTGGTACGGGTGTGTCACACCACAAGCCTTGAAAGGGAGGCTGGAGTGTTACGACGAGCATCGAACATTTATGAAGCATTAGACGCGAGTTACGAGTGCACACGACTAGCAATGGCTAGGTGTGCCACGACCATGTCTCATGCTCACTCGAATCCATATTGATGCCCTATGACCTTAAACCATGCATAGGACATGCAATGCATAGTGGAAGACATTTGGCTTAAAAACCTACTTAAAAACTCATTTTGTATTTGACACTTTTTTTCGACATAAAACTTATATTGTGCCTCGTAAATTTTATTGATGGAATCCAAGTCCGAGTAGCCGAGCATCTACGATAACCTAAGTCTATCACGTAGCGTGACAACATATTATCCAGGTGACTTTACAGCGAAAAACTAAGGGTCCGGCTACATGAACATGTTATAAATGCTTTATATGGGATATTAAAATATTTAAAGCAACAAAAAATAAAGGGATACGTGCTTTAGGAAAAATATTTCGTTTCATTCAAGAAAACCAACCTTGTACATGCTTATCTTTAACGTAAGGTTATTTACATTTAACTTTTACAAACAAAATATATTACAATATGCAAACATGAGCTAGACATAACCTAGGATTTAAAAGCCTAGACAAAAGTACACCTTTTGACCAACTTCAAAAGCATCCAATAGCACCATCTTTATGGCAACCTACTCCCAAGCACCGTTGCGGTTACATATACCACAAGACATAAAGAATGAGTTAACGTTCAAAAAGTGCAATCATGCATGAGTTTATTGAAACATGTTTTCATTAAGAAATTATTTTTTTCTTTCGAACATGCCATACCGAATGACCGATTCAACTGTCTTTTAAAACCTTGAGGAAAACCTTGAAACGAGACAATGTCTAACTAAGGGTCAACCCTTCGGTATACACTAAATCATTCCCATGGGTGGCTTTTTTATGTTCATGCACATCAATTCTTTTTCTTACTAAAAACATGCATCATGAAAAGCAATGTCATGCCTTGAATACATGCTCGTCAATGCTTATGTAACCAAATATCGTCAATGAATTTGAGACAACATAATTTTTCTAACAATCTTTATGCATTAAGCCAATTGAAATCAAGTCATAATTCACTAAGTCAGCATATCAAACATGTCTAAGTTCACCTCAAGCTACTGAAATTCAAAGTTAATTCAAACAAAACATAACGACCACAAAATCAACATTTCGACCGAATCATAAACCAAGCCAAGCAAATTTTAATAAAATATAATCAAGAAAAACAAGCATTTTATTTTACCACAAAAGCACACCAAGTTTAACCCACATTTTTCTACGGTTTACATGGTAATTCTATGTTTAATGGTTAATTGTAAGTCCACATACATCAAGATTTCCGTCCAACACACAACATAGCCAAAATCAGCTCAACATATCAAAAATGCCTAAACCTAGGTCTTGTAGTGTAGTTGAATAAATTATACTTACTTGGTCTAGAGATATGAGATTGAAAAATGCTTCAATATACCACCATAGACCCTCCTTACACTTGGTCTAGCCCTTAGCCAAAACTACTAGCAACTCCTTAAGTTACAATAGCTCCAACGAAATCTCACTCAAGCAACTCTCGTTTTTCTCTTGAAATTTTGAAATGGCCAAAAAAATCAAGTCATGGCCTTACTCTCGTGATGCCCCATCCCTAGCATACTCTCTAGTACCCAAATCGGAGTAACTAGGCAAGGAGCGCGTCACGCCGACATAACCAATTTCCGAATTAACCTCAAACACGTATGTGCTCATACATTAAGAATTTATCGTACAATGAAACATGTAAAAATACTTTACATAATATTAACAAAACGAGTGAAAGAAATTTCAAGATTTATTTGTAATAACACTATCAAAATATATATCGACCCCTAACCCTAAGATTTTGTTTATCGAGAAAAATTTCGACATGCTTGTGTCACATGTGAGCCTTTTTGGAGATTTCGATAGGATCCTTAATGTTTTGACTTGTTCCTATCATAGAATGAAAATAATAACGGAATGAGCC